TCCTGGAGGGCGACCGCTTCTTGTCTACTCCACCGGGAGGTAGCGCATAATCGTCTTTTAGGTCAGTGGTTCGCCACGACACGGCTGCTGTTAGTTTTGGTTCACGCATCAAGAGATAAGTAATTACTGTTTTATTGCTTATAGTATAACATGTATAACATAATCAACTGACAAAAATTTGAATTAGTCCATTGCAACCTCTACAAATGTTTATGTGCTTGAATAAATTTACCAAGGTCGAATTAATAATGAGTCGGGTATTTGTTTGGTTGATAGGAATTAATTTCCCATAGGCAATTACATTTTATTGAAATTTAACTCCTATATTAAATTTCCTAAGAATTGTATAAATTTATTTGATTGTTAAGAAGGAATTTGCAAATCATGGAATGAGTTATTAATGGAGGGCTTGGTCATTTGATTCTTACATAGGGCTGATTATGTTGCGAGTCAAGCTCGAGTATCACTAAAATCGACTTAAACTCAAATGTCTTAGGCTCAACTCAAGCTCGAAAACTCGTGAGCTTACATTTTCAAGCTCTAACTTGACTTGTTAGTTTAATTCTCAAGCTCGGATCAAGCTGGATCCGAGCTCGAGCTCAAATGAAGCTCGATTTAAGCTCGACTCGTGCTCGATTTGAGCTCAGCTCAAGCTCAAATCGAGTTTGGCTTGATTTTGAACTCAATAGCATGTCTTAATGTAAGGCCCAAGCCACACTTATAATATTTCTTACCCATCTTTTTTTTCCAAACTTCAATGTAGCCTGGAAATTTGGGTTTGTAAAACATATAATACCATTAATGTTATCTTATATATTTCTCATTCTATTCTACCTCATTATAATTTTTTAATGTGGTACAAGTTGTGTAACATCATATTATTATTTTTATAGTTTTGTACAATTATACACATGTACATACCATCAACATTCTAATATACATATCATTTTTATAATCAACATCCTTAACATTTTATTCCTTAAACAATCTAAATTTGCTTTTTTTTTTCTTAAAGAATTGTAATATTTGATTTAAATAAAGTAAAAGCGTGTTTTTAGTTTAATGTTCTTGTATATTATATTTATGGTGATTAAAAAAATATATTGTTATTAATTTTATCTTAATGCATTATCCATTAATTTGAAGCTAAGACTTAAGAAATTAAGAGAATAATTTCAAAAAAAACCGTTTAAAGTATGTAAATATTTTTTAGAAAAAATTGTTAATTCTATCGACTTTCTCACGAGCTTTTTGAGTCGAGTAGTGGCTTGCTCGACTCGACTTGTTAGAATTCCGAGTCGAGCTCTAGTCGAGTTTATTTGAGTTGAGTATTGACCAAATGTTGATCGAGTAGCTCGCGACCAGTTCACGAGCTGTCTCGTCTCATAAACAGCCCTACGTACATACTTCACTTTCTATAGTCAACTAAACAAACCTCTCATTTCTATATTTCCATATATTTTCAATTTACCCATTTTTTTTTCAATCAAACAAGGCCTAAGTAGATGAAATGCGGGGGAGCAGATCTGGTTGAGTTCTGCTTCTGATGTTCTGTAGAGTCATGACCCTTTTTGTATTTTGCTGTAATATTGGTTATATCCCTTTATTTTCCCCCTCCAAAGGGAACATGATACCTTTCTGGTTTATCAGTTGGTATTTGCCAGCTATGTGTGATCTGATTATTTCTAATTAATGATTAAAGTTCCTTTTCTTCTATAAAAAACAATATTTTTGTTTGAGAGAATATGTATAACTAGATATATAGCAAATTACCAATGGACCAGTCTATACTCTCGTTTATTAGGATACAAATAATTGTTTGCACAAAATCTATCTTTACTACATCCCTCATTACTCATGTTATTAAAGGGGTGTTTGGTATGTGGACTGGAATAATTGGGGATTAAATTGGGAATTGAAGAGTGACATGATCTAGTCATATCACCTAATCAAAAGAATTACCTAAGTTCTCTCATTAAAGCAGATAGGGAAGTAGGGTTGAATCCACAGGGAAACAATGTCTTTCTATCCCTAAATGATTAATATAATCTAAACCAACAAGTAACCAAGTTATTTTTATGAGAATTAAACTAAGGGAACATAAATAACTAATGCAAATAAAACTAAGGAGAAATCAATAAATCAAAGCGTAGGGGTATAGGTTCACCAATAAATAATATTCCAGGGTAAAGCATAATAATCAATTATCAATGCATCAATTAATTAGATCATAAAGGGATTTCGCTACGTATTACATCATAGAATTAATCTACCGGTATTAAATCGCATCTCTCAAATCTTGAGTTAACCATTTATAAATTAACCTACCTATTGAAACTAAGCCTAAACATCAATTCTCATTTGTCGAATCTCGAATCAATATTGCATAACTCATACAATTAAACCTGGCCAAATCTAATTGCATAGCATTAAATCAATCATTAAGAAATCAATCAAGCATTAACAATCAACAATAATAAATTACCCCTTTCATATTATTTATGGATCCTCATAAACCCTAGAAATAAAAATACTCACACATATTAAAGTCTAAACTAAGCAAAGCAATAAAACAAGACATGATTAATCAAAGCAATTAAATTACTGAAAATAAAAGGAAAAGGAATCGTTACCAAAGTAAACGGAAATATGGAATTGCATAAACCAAAAGAGTTGAGAGAAAAAGAGTATTAATTAAAAGCTTAAAACTATAAATCTGGAAATTAACTAATGAATGACATAAAATATCTCACTTAACAAAATCGTACTTATACTAAGCTAACAAATTCTAAAAGTAAACAAAGTAAAAATCGTCATTAAGCTCCTTAAAAACACGCACCTGGTCGGGTGCCATCTCGCCCGGCCAGGCCCGCCTTTGGCTGGCGAGCTACTCATCTCGCGCCCGGTGGGGCACGCATCAGGGCGAAGGGTACTCCTACTCTATCTGCCTTGCCCGGCCGGGCGCGCCTCATGGCAAGGGCATCCCAGTTGGGCGAGCATCCGGGCATCAAGGACTTCTTCGATTGGGCTATTTTCTTAGCCCAAGCCGGATTTCCTCTTTGGGACCTTATAACTTGATCCAATGCCTTGGTTTCTTCTTCTTCATCGAGCCCTTAATCACCGGTTCAATTTCTCCAACGCGATCTTGGGCTTTGGAATGAGGTCATATGTACGCGATCCTAATCCAATGCTCATAGTGGCTCAAACAAGTCCGGGAACACGCTCCAAATCTGCAATTTCCTATAAAACAATACCAAAGCTACGAAAACACTAGAAAACGCATATTAGTAACAAAAGGTGCTCCGTAGAGCCAAAAATACTTCTAAACATGACTAAGGGACGGGGGTAAATCACTATATAAAACGAACATATCAAACTCCCCCCAGCCAAACCTTTGCTTGTCCCAAAGCAAAGATCTCATTAATGAACAAATAAAACATACTTCACCCCAAAATCAACTAAAACCAAGCATAATTGACTCAAGGAAAATCCAACAAATGTGCATCAAAGTCAACCAATCAAATCCATGCAACTACTCATCTACCCTAACAATCGTCAAACAAAGCGAACCACAAGTGTATATGGAATTCATGATTAGTGCTCATACACTCTTCACTCTTTTATGTGGCGAATATAAAATGTATCCGATCGCTCTCCATCCAACCCTTTTATTGTGAACAATGCCCTCCAAACTCACAACACTCGTGTGTTTAAGAAGACAAGCACTCAACCTAGTAGTCGACTCGAAATATGTCAAATCATTCTTTGCATTGATAAAAAACTAATTTCACATCCATACAAATCTATGCACAAAGGTCGGAAGGTCTTTAAAGCTTGTAATGTAAGGCTAGGGTAAAAGGTAGGAAATATTTGGGAAAATGTGAGAGTAAAGCCATGCTTAAGGGAGCCAAAACCTAACAAATAAAACCAAGGTAAAAAATAAATAAATAATGACCAAATAAATAATGACCAATCTTCTCCAAAACAACTCAACTCCACCAAAAATTTTCCAAACACAAACCCAATCAAATAAAAAATTCCCAACACTTGTAATCTCACTCACAAAAATATAACAATGTAGAACTTGAGTGAATCAAACAAACTTTGAAATTTTTTTTCAACTTGAATTTATTTTCCTTGGCACTCATTATTTTTTCTTTTGATCAACCTTCACTTAGAACATTTGAACGTTGAACAATTTTGGGAAATTCTCAATGGTAGCCCTGAACTTTTGGCAATTCTCAATGGTAGTCAGTTTTTTAAAAAATTCTCAATGGTAGCCCTGAACTTTTTAAAAAGTTGCTTCCGTAGCCTTTATTAGTAAAAAACGTTAAGTTTCTGTTATTAGTGGTCATTTCGGTTTGTTAGGTTAACTAAGGCTAACTAAGGTTATTTTTGGCTCCAAACTTTCCCTCCAAAATTTCCCTCCCTTTCTTTTTCATCTCTCCCTTTATAAATACCCCTTCTCCTCCTTAATTCCCCCACTGCCAACCCTCTAAAATTTTTCTTACATTAGCCATGGCTGAAAAATGGGCAAAGATGAAGGTCTGCAACTGTGTGCCTAAGAAATACGCTGACATCAAGATATCAGACTCAAGGAGCAACCCAGGAAGAGCTTACTACAAGTGCAACTTGTGTGGATTTTTTTCGTGTGTGAATGATGAAGAAATTGTGTTCTGGAGCAGGGTAGTTGGGTCTGCTATTGCTGCTGGAGTGAAAGATGGACTTAGCTGCTGTGTGAAGATTGCAATTGTGGTGTTGTTTGTGTATTTCCTGTTTAGTATGATGGAGTAATTTTCATGTACTGTGATGTAATGTAGGACTTAGGGTTGAATGAAATGCACTGGCATTTGAATAAAGTGGCTGCAGTCTGATATAAACTAATTAAGTACAAAATACATATCTTAAGTATGATAGAAAATACTTCAGTACATAATATTTATAGGTAATAATTAATGTTTTGGCTGATGATATTTGTCATAAAAATAAGAAAGTTAAGCTTAAGGCTGTGATGTAGCAATTGCTGCAGCAGATCTTGATCTTGATCTTGTCCCTAATGCTGGTTGAGAGGATGGTAGTGCTTGTTGCTTCTTCTTACCCTCTTTACCATAGCTTGCCTTTTGCTTAGCTGACATACCTCCTTTGCAAGTAGCTGCATTGTGGCCAAAAGCTTTATAGTTGCTGCACCTAACTGTCTTAGCCCTTTTGCCCTTCCTTTCTCCATCATCTGATCTCTTCCTCACTCTAGAAGGCCTCCCTATGCCCCTTTTCATGGGTGGTGGATTAATGTGAGGCATGTCTATGGGTGGCCATTGTTCAACATCTGGTATGGATTTAATCCCACAGCTGTAAGCTTCCTTGTACTTGGTGACTAAATACAAGTCGCTGACAAATGAGTGGGGGTCCAACCTTGCTATAATGATGGCTCTTATACCATGCCTGCATGGAATTCCAGTCAGCTGCCACACATTGCATAAGCAAGTGTGGTTGTTGAGGTTTACAGGGAGCACAGACTTGCCATCTTGAACCTCATACTCTCCTTCAACACTCATGTATGCAATGCAAGTCCTACTCTCATGAACAAGCTGATGTATCCTCTTTATTATGTGTGGGCATATGTCTTGCCTCTTCCATGTCTCACAAACCTGCCTCCTTTTTGCCATTCTAACCATAGTGTTCCTTCTAACACCTATAATAAACAAAGGGAAATTAGTAACAGATAATTGCAACCCTTTTGCCAAGCATTATAGCAGATAAATGTCATTGTGACTTACTTTCAAGTAATGTCAGAACTGGTCTGCTCCTGTCCAATCCTAGTGTGGCATTGAAGCTTTCAACAAAATTGGTGACATTGACATCACACTTCAGTTCAGTATTGAACTTGTGTTTACTCCACCTCTTTTGATCTCCTAATTTAGAAAGCCAAACCCTGCCAGCTGGATTAACTTTGCCTAATTAATTGATCCATAGCCTTCTTGAAAGTGAAATCTGAGTTAGCATTACATGCTTTCCTAAACAAAGAGAACATCAAAGGCCCTGGAAATGACTTCTTCCAATTGACTGCAAGGTGCTTGCAGCAATACCTTCTGTCAACTTCTGGCCATACATCAGTCAAAGAAATATCAATACCCTACATTTGACACTTACATGATGTTAGTGTGGTATCTGCATCAATAAATAAGGTAAATAGGGTAAATTAAGTAGAGTAATGTAAACCTTTTGCCTTTCAGAAATGATGCACCAATTGTCTCCCCTTCCAAGTGAAGCTAAGGAATTCTTTAAATGCCAAACAAAAAAGGACCAGCTGTCACCATCTTCAGTAGTGACTATTCCCCAAGCAAATAGGAATAGCTCATTGTTCCCATCAAGTGCAACAGCAGAGAGCAAGACACCACCATAATTTCCTTTGAGGTGTGCCCCATCAACTCCTATCAAGGCCCTACAACCCCTTAACCCATTAAGTACACCACTAAAACTGATGAAGATACTTTTGAACACCAAAGGCCTCTCAGGTTGGTCTGGTAATTCTTTCCATGTAGCAAAAGCAGCTGATCCACTGTTTGTCAGCTTTATGACTTCACAATACTTTGGAAGATGGGCATATGACTCATCATGTGACCCATGAATCTGAGACAAAGCATGTTGCCTCACTCTATACAGTGTGCTTGTTGCCATTTGCACACCAAACCTTTGAAAAAGAAGAGTGTTCAATAACTTTGCAGTAATGTCATTATTTGCTCTCACATCTTCAAGAAGCACCCTCACAACCCATGCACAACTCACCATTAAATTTTTAACATCCAACCCACTGCATGTGTGCTCAGAGTTGGTAATACTCTTAATAGCCCAAGACACCCCATCAGCTAGCTTAGATGCATGCAATCTCCACTCACACCCCATAGCAGCACATCTCACAGTGTACCTATGGTTGTTTGCTCTAACCACAACCACAGAAAACCCACACTGAATACAATAATCCCTCACCACATCCCTCAAGTGTTGTTTATCAATAAACAACTGTCATGGTTTCAACACTATTGCTCTAAACTCCTCATTTTTGTATATCTCTCCATTTCTGTAAAGCCTATTAAAGTAGTTGTCATCGTCCCCTATCTCATCATCAAATAGCTCATTACTAAAAGGATAAAAGTTTTCATGGATGGCAATAGCTTCAGCACCCTCTTCATCCTCTAAGTCACCCTCATTTTCAACATTGTCATCATCATCATCATCATCATATTCATCTAAGTCCTCCTCTCCCATAGGGACATACTCATTCTCCTCATCATCCTCAATGTCATTGAACATATCAAAGTCATCATCCTCATTCAAGTCAACAGCAACATATGTTACTACCCTATTTCCTTGACTTAAACTGTTGCTACCCCCTTGACTCACAGATGAATCAATAACAATCCCCTTTCTTCTAGCTGTTGTCATAGGAATTATCCTTTTTATTGTGTTTGGGACAAAAGAAGACCTGCTTGAACCACCTTCTGCTATGTCAGGAGTTGGGTTATTTGGTGTGGGAATGAAAGAGTTTGATTTCATGACAATATGTAGTAGTTCAGCTTGTGTTTCAGAGGGTTGCATGGTCTGTGTTACTGAGGGTTCAACATTTAATTGATCATTTGATTTTGTTCTTTTTCTAGGACTCCTCCTAAGCACAAGAAGTGGCTTAGGATCAGTTACAGGAGGCTGTGTTATTGGGGGCTCAATTTCAGTTAGTGGTTCTGCATTGTCAAGCAAAGGGTTGGATGAACTAAACCATTCCTTAAATGAAAACCCTGTTTTTTTACCTCTAACTCTTCCCCCTCTACCCCTCCCCTCTCTGCCCCCCCCTCCTACTTGAAGCTTCTGCACACCCCTTTCCTCTCCCTCCTCCCCCATGTACCCCCTCTGTCTTCTTACTTCTCTTAGGAACTAACTTGGTTAGCTGTTGCTTAACCTGTTGCTTACCCCTTTCCTTATCCCCATCAAGCACATAAGTCACTAATTCAGTTGTTTGTTCTAAAAGAGGTGGGTTGTCAGGTCGTGGGTCAGATTGTTCTAATTCCTTCCTAGCTTCTTCCCTCCATTTTTCAACTTTCTCTTTCTCAGCTCTACCAGCTCTTAACAAAGATGCAGCTTGTGCAATATCAGTTTCACCCTCACCATCATCTACCCAAATATGTATCACAATTCTACCCTACAGCCTATCAAACATTACCATCAAATCATTGTCTGTCCTTAACTCATATTGTTTCATCTTCCACACATATTCAAACCTAGGGTATCTTGGTGTGGGGATGGAATTTAACTCACAAAATTCCCAATAATCTATGATAAGGTCTATAAGCATAACCTTATCAATGTCATTTACTACAATGTCAACATCAATACTCTTGTATTGAAATTTTGGGGTGATTGGGCAGTCCATTCTGCAGTAATTACATATGAAAATATCAATATAAAATGTTGATGAAGATCAACTGTAAATTCACAATACATATAACAAATAAAACAAAACCCTAACTCCCGCAATACATATAATTCACAGTACATGTAATTGTCCAACAACTGAACCCTAATTCCCACAATTACACAGAAAATACCAGTAACCATGCCAAAATTCAATAATCGAACCCTAATTCCCACAATTGCCCAGATTTCAACATTTAATCCATAATTTGCCAACAATCAACAATTTAACACCAAAATTAACCAAAATTCAACATTTTAACGCCAAAATTAACAACATATAACGACTAACATGAATAATTTAACAAAAAAACCCTATTTTTCGTCAGTCATTCAATTACATAACGTCGAGCATTTCACAGATTAAACCCTAAACTATAACTGAATAATTAACACCTACCTTGATGCAGCAGCATACAAAATCAAGCCTTTACGTGCAAACTTCTCTTCGACCTTCAAATCCTCTCCCACAATTGTGTTCTTCGATCTTTCTTCAAAGCGTGAAACAGAGTAATGAGAAGAAGATGAATGCACAATGGTTTAAATGTAGTTGGGTGGGTGGGTTAATGTCTTAAATGCTGACCAACGTCAAAATATTTAACTATAGTTCAAAATTAACGGAAAGTTAACGGTTTCAAAGTAAATAGGCTACGGAAGCAACTTTTTAAAAAGTTCAGGGCTACCATTGAGAATTTTTTAAAAAACTAGCTACCATTGAGAATTGCCAAAAGTTCAGGGATACCATTGAGAATTTCAAAACAATTTTTTTCTTTTTACTCTTTTTTTTTTCTTTTGAAGTTCACTTTTTTTTTTCTTTTCTTTTTCCTTGAACTTATTTTTTTCATCATGCTTTATTTTTTTCAAGAAAATTCAACTTTCAAAGTCATCAAAAATAAATCACAATCAAGAACAAAACAACTTCTCAAAACCCACCCACATTGTGCAAAATATAAGCACACTACAAACTCCTTCACCTCACTCACTAATAGCTCCCCCAAACCAAGCTTGGGACTAGTAACCAATGGGGCAAAATTAGGCTTGTAATGTGGCTAAATAAACAATAAAAAGGTCAAGGAAACAACATGGGTATCAAGAAGGGAACAAATGTATCTAAATGATCTAAAGGCCACCTAAAAGAACAAATGCCTTTGTCCTCCTCAATGTGCATAATATGAGCCATACAAACATTACTCAAAGTTATAAACCAATACTCAACTTCATTGACATACCAGGAACTAACACACAATTTCTAACTAAATCAACTACTCAAGCACCAAATCCACAACTAGTTGGACAGTGTTGATTCATATTAAGGCATCAAAGCAATCAAACATCAAATCACGGATAACCAATCCACAATACTCATCATCATATATAAAGAATTAAAACAGTTTTCATGTATGGGGCACAAGGAAGCATGATTTATCATTCATTGGAACGTATTTTTGTATATTTTCATTTTTTTAATTTTTTTTTGTATTTTTTAATTTTTTTGAAAGCAATAAATTCTACACTAGAAAGCAATAAAATCTATACTAAACACACCAAAAATAAAAAAGAGAGAGAATAAATAAGATACCTCTACTAAAAATCTCCCACAAGCCAAAATCAGATAATGTCCTCATTGGCTCGGGAATTAGCCGTAGCATAGCTAATCACCACCATCCTCATCCATCGCTCCAAATCCTCTACCACTACCACCTGCACCAGAAGAACTTCCACCAAAGTAGTTAGGGTTAACATTACCCCTTAACCCCCCAAAAGGAAAGTCTTGGCCGTAGCCAGAGAAGGGTGAATAGTCTATGTAAATACCACGGGAGTCGGGGTCCACATATCCCTAAGGTGGTGGCTAGAACCAGTTAGGGTAAAGGGTTTCGGGTGGGATAGCACCACGACGAGCATAGTCGTCGTACATCGGGAAAAGTCCCCTACCTATGTTCCTCTCCACAAAATCGTATAACCCACCCTCTAGTCAAGGGAGCCAACTAACCTCCTAATGTCTCCCACTTGTGTCCTAAGCTCCCCTTAGGTCTCCTCTATCCTACCTATAGCCTGACCTATACTCTGTAGGTCCCAAATAGTCTCGGGGTCCGGCCAAGGCTAGTGAGGGGGTGGCTGAGGCACATGTGGCTGTGGTTCATGCACCTGAGGCTGTGGCTGGGCCTATGCAAGCAAACGGTCATAGGTGTAGGACTGCTACCTAGTAGGGAACGCGGTCAAGTCTGAGTTAGGGAGAGGAAAACACAGGTAGATAATCCTTCCCTACCTTTACTTGCCACTGTAGGACCTGGCGGTGGTTAGGCTTAACCCAGTTCAAGTGTTGGTAGTAAGGCAAGTTCTGAAAAGTGGTCCCCCCCACAGTTGGTCAACCTCGCCTTTTTAATCTCTATCCAAGTAATTAGGCCACCAAAGTGAATGGCAAATAATAAATTTAGCAATGTTTAATTTACCATAAACAAACATGTAGTGCCCTAGGATAGCTAGCTCCAAGGATTGGGCGTTATGAGGCTCATGGCTAGCCAAAAAGCAAGTCCTGGAAAATCTTTGAAAGATTTTTGGGACGGGTTTGTGAGAAGGAAGTGAACTACAATGCTGAATATTAGGGCAAGGTTTGCCCGTCAAAACTAAATACACATCGTCAGCTTTATAGTCCTCATGCATTTGGGTGAGGGGATGGGGATCAAGCTCAAATAATCTTGCAAATTCGACATATGTTAATTCAACATTTATATTATTCAAAAGAAAATGCAAGTTAGGACCATTCCTAGATGGATCAACATGTAAACAAGATAAGAATTCACAAGTTAATTCTCTATATGTAGGATAATACATGTCAACAAATTTCTGCATTTAAATATCATTCATAAATCTCCTAATATGATCGTAGACACCTAAAGCAATTAGAGTGTCTCGGTGTAACCACCGAGAAGAATTTACCTCTCGATCGTAGAGATTTATGAGATGGTTCGGTTGTTGTTGTGACACGATCTCGATTGTAGGCCACGCATCTAATTGTAGAGTTTCGTCGATTGGCGTCCTTAAACTTGAACCTTGCCCACAACCTTGTGTTCTTTCCCTCTTGCTAGACATGTTGTAAGTGGGTCTAAAAAATTTTGTTTTAAAATTAAACAAAATTAGTATAGATGTAAAGAGGGTGAAGAGAGGAAGAAGAATATGAAAAAATCTTTGAGTTTGGGTGAGAAATGGAGAAGGGATCTTATAGAGAAGTTAGAGAAAATAGAGGTTTTTGAGAGGGAAACAATGGAGGAAAGAGAAAATAAGAAAAAAAGAAAGAAGGAAGAAGAAAGAAAGAGGGAGCCCGGTGGATTGTAACACGCGCCCGGTCAGGCGAAATTTAATTCTGAAATTGTGTTGCTCGCGCTCGGTCGGGCGAATGTCGTCCCAAATTTTTGCTTCCTTTTGCGCCTGGTCGGGCCCTT